GTCACGGACCCTACGTCCATTTATATATACACAGTCTATGGTCATAACCCACAACTCCGATAGAGGAAAGTGGATATTAAATGTAGAAACGGATTAAAAGGCCACGACAGCACATTTTAAGACACAGCGGCAATTCAAAGTGCTTCACAGAGGGCCTTTAAACAAGACAATTCATAAAAGCGATAAAATACTGGCTGCAGCTAAAAGTGCAACGATAAGGTCGGTTAAAAGATCTCAGGAGAGGCTGCATTACAAATAAATATTTTTAACTTTGATTTAAAAGCACCCAGGGTTGGGAAGGACCTCAGAATTATTGTTTGTTCCAGGCGTGTGATGCAAAAAAGCCAAAAGCCGTCTCGGCAAATGTAGTTCTGACTCTGGAGACAACGAGTAAATCACATTAAACAAACTATGTGCAGTCCGACCAGGAAGTGTTAAGAGCAACTAAACATCCCCTTACGTTGGCAAAGCCGGTTTAATTTTGTTTTTTTTCCTACATTTAAAAAGGGATTACGTTTTAATAAATAAAAGTGGAATTTATACATTTGTATTAAATCAGTTCTCTTGTATTAATGAACATCCATCCATCCATCTTCTCCCACTTATCCGTGGTCGGGTCTCGGAGGTATCAGTTCCAGCAGAGCCCCAAAATTTCTTCTCCCTGGCCACATCAACCAGCTCTGACTGGGGGGGTCCCAAGGCGCTCCCAGGCCAGAGAAGAGATATAATCCCTCCACCTGGTCCTAGGTCTACCCCTTGGTCTCTTCCCAGCTGGACGTGCCTGGAACACCTCCCTAGGGAGGCGCCCAGGTGGCATCCTAACTAGGTGCCCGAACCACCTCAACTGGCTCCTTTCGACGCGAAGGAGGAGCGGTTCAACTCCGAGTCCCTCCCGGATGACTGAACTTCTCACCTTACCCCTAAGGGAGCCAGCCACCCTGCGGAGAAAACCCATCTCGGCCGCTTGTACCCGCGATCTCGTTCTTGTTAATGAACATAAATACAAAAAATAGTTTTCTTTGTCGAGTGAAAAAAGTATGAATAGCTGACCCCCCAAAAAAAAGCTTAGAAGCTAAATATTTAGTTTGAGATGAACTTTTTGTGCATTTTTGGAAATGATTGCATTTCTACGTGAACTTTTGGACGCTGTGGAGTTACTGAACATGTTTGGATCACAGAAATGAAATCGTGTGATTATTGATTCAGAAACATTATCAATGAAGCTTTGAACTATAAAAAGGGATATTGAAATCCACCCCTACCCTCTCTGCGTTCCTTCCGTTGGATCTGGAGCGCTTGGAGGCGCCTGGAGGTCCGTCGACGTGATTTCTGGAGGAGCGCTGAAATAAAAAAGCATCGGATGGATGAGTTCCCGTGAAGCGACACGCGGACGTTCACGGAGCACCGGCTGTCGAGTTCTGATCTCACCCTCTTCTCTCGTTTCTTCAGGCGCACCGTCCTCACGTTGGACGAGTCCCAGTCCTGCCACAGAGCAACGTCACGTCACATTCTCAACATAAAAGCAGGTTATTTTAATGACGATTAAACTGAAGTGACGAAGCGCTCACCATCGAGTCGTCCGTTTTGTCGTAGCTGATGTCCGACAGGATGGAGGCCGACTCGTCGATGGTGCGCAGTCTGCGGGAGACACGGGAGTCGTTAACACGGTTTATTTATACTTTGCTCCGACAAAAACACTCTGGGGAACTGCGTTATTTCTCATTTTGCCTTTAAGATATATATACAAATGGTAATGCATGTAAGGCTCCCAGTGGAACAGAACAAGTGAGGCTTGTCCTGAAACCTGGAGGTCACATTAACCAGATGACACAAATATAAAAACTTAATTGTAAATACAGGAAGAGAAAGTACCTGGATATTTTTATGTTTGGAGATTTTTTTGAGTGAGAGAAGCTGCGGTTACTTGGCAGTAGGGATGGGTATCGTTAGGATTTTATCGATACCGGTACCGGTACTGCGTATCGGTATTTTTCGATACTCTTATCGATACTTTTCAATAATTTGGTGTTAATAAAACTAAAAAAAGACAAGGCGATGTGCCTGCAAGACTGCACCCAGGTAAACAAAACATGTTACCCGTGCGCAGCAGCTAACCTGCCTGCGAGCCTTCGCTCAGGTCACATTTACACACGGCAAGGCTGAAGCCCGCTAGCACTATTAGCACTAGCAGTATCGCTAGCACCGTTTTAGATTCAATGAGTGTCTCGGTTGCAAATGCTTCATTAAGTTGCTTGTGTCACCCCCTTTACAAGCAACTAATTGAGTACATAGATTGCACCTTGCACTATCGCCACTACATTTTTTTAAAGTGCACCCAGACCTTGGATCGCTTCGCTCTGTCCGCTATGCCTGCGGGAGTCTCTCAACAATAATAAGAGCACTGTTGAGAGAGATGAGGAGTTGCATTTACAGTGGCCAATCAGAGGGGTCTCAAACCGGATACATCACACGGGATGAGG